GATTAGTAGTTTTAATATTTGGCATCCAATAGACCAAACAACACTACGGAATGTGTAAATCTAGCTTTTGAGTTCCAAATGAATGATCAGCTATTGGTTTGAGTTTGGATGAACATATCAGGCTATGAAGCTGAATTCTCTGGAACTCCTGTTAAATGAACTAAAGTTTAATTTGATGTATCTTTCAATATTATTTTGTGTGTTTGTTTCCCTGTCAAGGTTCCCCTTCCTTCATGGAATTTACATTGGAATCACGTGATCAACACATATCAATACAAATATAAACGTCTTAAATTAGCATAACTAGCATATTTAGAATACGTGGTACGTATAGAAATATAGATATACACTTGTTGACGCCATAATAGTACATGCACTTTGCTGCACCCAATTGCTACCAGGTACGTAATTGTGTGTTTGTTGCTTTCATGTTCCATGCTGAATTTTAAAGTCATTTCCAGGGTATGTTGTTCGTTTTTTATCAGGGAAGTTATGATTTCCTTTCCATCAGCTGACTGTTCACTCAGTAGTATAAATCGAGTACAATCTGTACATATCCAACAAACATTTGTATTAGATATTGTATTCGACTGGTGGTGTTCCATCGGATGAGAAGGATAACCACTGTTTTTTGTCTTTAGTGATGTAGATAAACAGAGTAGTCGAGTGTTCCCGACGGGTGATGGTCCATGTTTATCGTGCGATTGGGCTATCCACATCTTTATTTCAGGATTGAAAAAAAAAATATTTCCAAGTGTGAAAACATCAATCAATCGGAGGTAACACTATGCTGGCCGATATAAGTACAATTACCCTTTCCGAATTTGCTGGTACTGTGTAGCACATATATTCTGTTCCCGTTCAGCAACATATGTTATCATTTTATACAGGATAATGGAGATGAAAATTAAAGAAGGATTGTTGTCCACACCAAAGTATGTACCACACTGGTATTTATACGATACTCGTGGATCGATACTGTTTGAAAAAGCCACAATTGAAAACCCTTATTATCATATTTATAGAACAGAAAAAATAATTTTAGAACAAAATGCGGGTAAGTTAATATACATATAGGTTATATTTTCCGGTCAATGTAGACAACCAACGCTAAAATTATAGTAAAACTGACAACACATTAATAACAATAATAACAACTTCTCACGACGCAGATATTTAAACAACAATATTTCTTTGGGCAGATTTCCTCGACATTGTACAATCCGTAAATAGTACTTTAATGTGGGTTTGGACAATTTAATTTTTTTATAATGTAAACGATTAACAGTTACCAGATTTCAAGTGCGTCATTTTCATTATTATCTTGTGATTATCTTGTATATGATCATATATGTTTAAACAAATAAATGTAAGTGTAATTATCTAATACAATTTGGCCATATTATGTCTATGTCTTAATACCGTTGTGCATAGCAGACATTATTTGAGATTGTAAGTGTTGCTATTTTTAATTGACTCATTGATTATCTGAGGTAACCACAAACAAGCATATAATTGTTTATCATTTGGTCAAATTCCATATTCGGCATTCTAGTTGCTCTTGTTACAGGCAACATGTGCTCGCCATTTCCTCCGTGTGTGCAGAAAATAATCTGCTTGAATTTCAACTCTTATTTTACGTCACGACTACAAAGGTCGTTTACGATGTGTAATCACGGATTATGATTTGGTAACACTAAATGAGATTTGATAAATTCTCGCATAATGCCCACTTTACATAAAAGTGAAACGAATTCGATATATATATAACTTTGTCTAACAATTCACATATTCGATGTTTATTTTGTAAAATTTGATATTATTGTATTTCCTATTATTTTGTAGATTCGATTATTTCTGGTTTAGGAAACATTGTACTATGTGAGTTGGGTGCTGGCAGTTCAACGAAGACTACACATATAATATCGGCCTTATTAAAAAAGAACAAAGACTTGACCTATATACCGATAGATGTAGCTGAAGGTGTGTATACTATTGAAGCATGCAGTGTTGACGTTTTACTTCATTTATTCTGTATAGTTTTACTCAATGTGATATGATAGTTCGAACGGCACACATATATGAACATAATGACATCGTGCAGATATGACTCGAATCAACCACAAAATATTATCCGTGTATTCACTGATGTAAAAGGACACTTTAGACATCGTCAGTAGTTTAAACATATCCCGGCCTCGTAAATATAAGCAAGCGTTTAATAACGTGAACGGGTATTAAATTAAAAAAGGATTGGGAAATCAAGTTTTGTGTGTTTAAGTTTGTGTAATTTTGAACCTTTTTATCGACAGAATAATATCTTGTAATGCAATGTTTATAATTTA